GTATGTATGTATGTATGTATACACTGTATATGTGTGTGTGTATGTTGTTCTGACAGCTGGATGATTTCTCTCTGTGTCTCTTTGAACTTACCTTCCTCCCTCCTCCTCCATGGAGGACATCTTTCCTTTTTAGTTGAAGGTTTGATTTTATTTCCAAGCATTTCATGGGCCACTGCTGATATGGTGTATGATTGTTCACTGTGATGGTGTTAGTGGAGATATTTATCAATGTTACATTCAGATCTTTTAACAGACTTTCAGAAGATACTTTWCAGAGGTGGAAAGTAACTAAGTATAAATACTTTGTTACTTAAGTAAAAACATTTAAATATAACATTATAATCATTATGACCTCTAAAAAATGTATTTTGGGGTGGGGGTCACCTCCCAATAAATGTTATTTTGTACATTCTAACTGCTCACTTACTGAATACTTTCAATACTTAAATACATTTTACATCAGATAGTTTTAAAATAAATTTTATGGTAAGACTTGTACTTTTACTCAAGTATCACATTGAGGTACTAAGAGTGGTGTTTTGTTACTTAGCCTAACAGGGGCTGCATGTGACAGGAGTTTACTTCTGCTGTCCTTTCCAGTGGAGCTTTGTAGGATAATGATCAAAGCTGTCTCTGATGACCTGATGCTACTAGATACCAGTGGTGGGCAGCACTAATCTAAAAATTAGTTCCACTAGCCCTAAAACACTAACTCAAATATTTAGGTCCCCTAATTCTAAAGCAAATTTTTAGCAAAATCTAATTCTATAATAATTCTATAATAAAACACAGTAAAAGCAAATATCTCTTGTGATTTCTGAGTTTCCCTGATCTTTCCTTTAATTTCTGATCAGAGTGGTAATGTCCCGCTGCAGGTCTGTGTTGATGGGAAGTGGGAGGGCAGAAGCTTGTGACTGCCTGATGCCTCAGATAGTCCAGAGGGTCAGAGCTGCAGGGAGACGTCTCCTGTCTTTGCTTCACTCCGTAAAACCTGCAACTCAGAGCTTCTGAAGGAGCCGCTCTGTCGAACGCCACCTCAGCAGCAGAAAGGTAGGAGCCTCACCTGACCACCAGCTCACCACAGCTGTCTGATTCATGTTGTGTCATATATGTGCAGAAAGTTGCCCTCTCACTTCAGCTGGAAAAGCTGATGAAAATACAACTTTTAATCCAGCATATAAACTGGTTTAGCTGTTATATCCAACTCAGGATTTTTTTAATAGTTCATGAAATACATTTCTATATTTGTTTGGGGTGTTACGTTGCGTTAATATCTGTATTTTAAATCTAAATTTAATTAATTTCTTATAATTTAGTGAAGTAGAATTAAGTGATATATTTTTAATTGATCTGGTTGAATCTTGTCTGATAAAACAGGTAAAAAAAGGTCCTGGTTGTTCAGAAATGGGGTTTAAAGAAAATCTCAGTGGAGTATGGGTGTAAGACTTTAAACAGCTGGAGGATTATTAGTGACCATTAAGGAGAAATACATGTTGCCCGCTGAAATGCAAATATGTCAGAGTTAAAAACTCAGATCATGTAATGAGAAAAAATGATGGAGAATTTAGTCAAACCTTGAAATTAAAGTAAAACGAGATAATATGACTCTCAGATTATTTGTCAAAAATTACTCTCAGCTACTACCTCATGTCATTGTGGCTCGTTATCAGTAGGCCTGACTGAGTTGTAGATATTTGTTGAAGGTTGGATAAATTAAACTGGACAGACTCTGATAAATTATTACAACGGAGTATTAAGGCCACACAGTGAAAAAAAATTTTTTTTTTATTATGAGATTAAAGTCGTAATTTTATGAGAAAAAATCATAATCTTACAAGACATATCCATTTTCTGTTTCTCATTTCCTCCTTATTTTCCTCACACCTTTTGTGTACAGTCTGTCTGTTTATAAAGTAGTCCGTGATGACTTGGGTCACTGTGCTTTCATCCAAATTAGCTATGTGACCAAATCTGTCAATGCATCCATTAATTACAATACGGCTTCAGTTTATAGTCG